ATAAACCCCACCGCCCAATACACATACCCACAAAACACATCCCCACGCGGTGTGCCGTACCTGCGTTCCCAGCTCGAACACGGGCACGTCAATGGCGGCCCCCAGTTTGACCAGCTGGTCAATGGCGGCGGGGCGATACACGTCCGTGGCCACCAGCAGGCAGCTCTTCTTGGCCTTCTTCAAGTACAAGGCCAACTTGCCCGCGGCAGTGGTCTTACCCACGCCCTGAGGTAAGGGGGGAGGGGGGAGGCGGGCGGTGTTTTGAGGGGGGGTTTGGGGGGGGATTGACGAGGTTGCGGGCGGGTTGGGTGGGGGGTTTCGTAGACTCAAAACACAAAGGAGTATCTGTATGTGTATGTGTGTATGTGTGTATGTGTGTATGTGTGTACGTCACAACAGCAGGTGACACGCCAGATAGGTATCCCCCGTCCTAAACCCTTTCCTCCCTTTCCCCTCCCAGCCAATACACTCAAAAAACTTGATCCTGCAAATCACAAATTAGGAAGATAGGGAGCGCGGGACGAGGCTGAGGTGCCCCTTCCCCCTTCCTAAAACTGCACCCTAATTCGCCCCCCTCAAACCTCACCCACTCACCTCGCACCCCCTCCCATACACATACACACCCCACCCTCCCATTAGACATATACACGTACATACATACGCACGTACATACCTGCAAACCGGCCATGAGGATGATTTGCGGGAAGCCCGGCTCCAGGTCCTTGGCCCCGACCCCTCCCCCCATCAGCTCGATCAGCTCGTTAGACACCACCTTGATGAACTGGACATCCGGCGTAACACCCTCAATAACCTGAAAAGGGGGGAAAGAGGGGTTAAGAGGGGGGGTAAGAGTGGTAGGGGGGGGGGGTAAAGAGGGGTAAGGGGGGGGGTAAGAGGGGGTAAGGGGGGGGTTAAGAGGGGTAAGGGGGAGGTTAAGAGGGGTAAGGGGGGGGGTAAGAGGGGGTAAGGGGGGGGGTAAGAGGGGTAAGGGGAGGGGGTAAGAGGGGGTAAGGGGGGGGGTAAGAGGGGTAAGGGGGGGAGACGAACCGCGAGCGAGTGAAGCTGCTGCCAAGGAACGACTGCTGCGGCGGATGTACAGGACGGTAGCAGAACTGACCAGTCGGCGGTTGTGAAGAAGCAGGAGGGGGGGAGAGGGGGAAAAAAGGGAGGGGGAAAAAGGGGAGGGGGACTGGGGAGGTGAGGTTGGGAGGTGGGTGGACCGGGAGTGTGCGTGTGTGTGCGTGTGTGTATGTAGGGATTTATACGTACAGCTGGTTGAGGTGACGAATCCGGGGGGAGAGAGGAAGGCGTACGGACCGATTTCAAAAAATACAACACCTGACCCCCCTACCCTAAGCAGCCCCCTGGCTGGTGACGGGGGGTGGGGGTGCTGGCGAAGATGAACAGGGTGGACAGTACGGTCGTGCCGTACGTTTTAATGCCACTTTTCACCGTGTCGCCGTTGATGTCTTACTGGCGTTATATATTTATAAAGCTGGCAACACATGCCCCACTTCCTCCCAGCCACTGCGAACTAACCAACCATTTAACTAACCAACTAACCAACCAAACCCAAACCGTAACCCCCCCCCGTGTCCCCGGACCCACCTTGGTTCCAAGCGCCCGCTCCTCGACCTTCTTAACGAACCGCCGTACGACAGGCAGCGACACGTCAGCCTCCAGCAGCGCACGGCGGACCTGGCATTACGGGTCCCGGTCGCAAAGGTGGGAGGGGACTAATTACGAGTTGGATATCGGACATGCCGTACGTCGTACGAGTCGTAGCTGTAGCTTATTATTAAAAGTTGCGAAGCCAAGAGGTTTGAGACAGGGGGAAAGTGTGTGTATGTATATATGTATGTATGTATGTATGTATGTATGTATGTATGTATATATGTATGTATGTATGTGTGTATGTATGTATGTGTGTATAAGAGCCCCCACCCCCACCCCCACCTCCAACCCCCTCACACCTCCTTCAGCGGCTCCTTCATATTCTCAGCCGTCAGTGTGCCGCTCTTGCCTGCGGTGGGGGGCGCGGGGGATACACGGGGTGGGGGCGGGTTTGAATGGGGCATGGGTGTGTGTATTTAGGCGGGTGGAAGGGTTGAGAGGAACAGTCACCTAGGGTTTTGGAGACTGGAGACACGGGGGTTGGGGGTTGAGGGGGTGGGCAGGGGGCCGGGTATGAGCGCCCCCATGTGCGCCTCCTCGCAAAAAACGCAAACAAACACACACAGCCGACACACACACACACACGCAAGCACACCACCACCCATCACACCTCTACGGCTCGCAGCTCAGTCCATTTAAACACGTACGTACGTACATACATTCACACATACACATATACAGCTATGGCAGGTGGCTGGCAGAAGTTAAGGCCTGACTTCTGCTCCCGGCCGGCCCGGGTTCAAATCCGCCTACCGACCTCTCGGGTGTGTCAGAGGTATCGAAATTGGAGGTGGCCCCCCCTCTTGTGGACGATGTAGGACGTGATAAAATCAACTTGCGAGCTGAACAGGAACTAAATTGAGGCACCGTTGATCCGCTAGATTTGGTTGGATGCTGGTGGTGAGTTGCTGAACCCAACGAATACATTCTGAAGTCGGATGGGGTGACGGATTAGGGTGACCCTCTAGCAGGGGAGAGCAGGGACTGCCCCGGGAAAGGGGGCCGCTGGTGAAGCTATACCGCCCACTAACAACACACGCCACTTCTCTCCTCCCCCTAACCCCCTCCACCGCATACAAATACACACACCTACAACCCCCACCCCCGGCACCTCACACCCACCAATGAGCCGCTGCGCCTTCTCCAGAGATTTGCTCAGGTTGTCGAACATGGCCGCACGGACCACCACCGCCGCCCCCCTGCCCCTGCCCCGGCGGGGAAGGGCGAGGGGGGGACTGGGGTGCGGCAGCCCGAGCGACCCGCCCTGATCACGAAGAGGCGGGGGGAAAGAGACAGAGAGGGGAGGCGGGGCGGAGGTAGGCACAACGTCGCGAGGAAAGGAAATACGGTTTTGCTTTATATACAATTAACCTCAAAAGCTGAGGACGCAATCGCAGTAGCAGCAGCAGTCGCAATCGCAGTAGCAGCAGCTTGCAGTAGCGTGGTGAGCGGCGGTGGCAGTACTACCGTAGTGAAAAGAGTAGGGTGGTGCGACAGACCGACAGACAGACAGAGCGGTGCCCTAACGGGAGCGACCTAAACGACGCGAGGGGCCCACAGGACTGACGTGAATGAGTAACGGTGGAGCCCTCCTCCTCCTCCCCCTCCTCCACCTCCTCCTCCTCCTCCTCCCCCTTCTCTTCTCCCCCCTTTTCCCCCTCCTCCACCCCTCCTCCTCCTCCCCCTCCTCCTCCTCCCCCCCTCCTCCTCCTCCTCCTCCTCCTCCTCCTCCTCCCCCTCCTCCTCCTCCCCCCCTCCTCCTCCTCCTCCTCCTCCTCCCCCTCCCCCTCCCACA